AATTTAATCTGCAAGCCTCCAAAATCAGGTTTTTTTTTTTTCTTTAAAAATTGTTCCTGGATGTTCATTAAATGTAAATTTTGCTTATACTCATCTTCTCAGTCCCACCTTTTCTTTTTGATTTTACAGTTATTATTTCTTTATTTCTTTCACATGAGTACTATTATATTTATCTTTGCTGCTATAGTTGCCATCATAACCTCAATGTGGGAGGGGGATCTGGGGTTCTCCCCCAGAAAATTTTGAATGAAGTAGGTGCTGTTTCCTGCATTCTGGTGTATTTGCATGTTGTTAAACATATTTTAAACTACATAAATAAACTTTCATATGTATTTCAGAGACGGATTCTACATTCAACTCAATATATGAATCATCCTTTTTGTGTCACATTGGACRTTTGATTCTTTGACCAGCGGGTAGCCTAAGCAGTAGAGTTTTAATAGGGTCAAAAACGACAGTGTCGTGGCAGCCAGCCTTCTCTTGAGAGACAGTAGTAGTCTATGTCAAGAGAACAAAAAAAAGTTTCTTCTGTTGCTCCTTATATATATATATATTTATTTATTTTACTGTCACAACTCTAACCCTCCTTTCTGTTGGCTAGGGACCGGCAATTTTAACCATAGAAATGTTTTTTTTAACATCCCATCATGGATCAGTTGCAGCAGCAGTATTCATTTCATGTCTGGGTGGGATGATATCTACCTGCAGCAGGGAGAGACGCAGCGTGAAGAAGCCTCCTGTCGGTGCTCTGGGACCAGGGAGCAGGAGCTCTCAGCAGCACAATGGAGAAATGCCTTCACGGCAGAGTCTCTCAAAGTCTCAATAACACAAGAAAAAGAGTCGCTAGATTCTCACTAGTCACTTTTCTGAATAACAGTCTCTAGAGGGTCTGAAAAGTCTGTAAATATAGCGAGGAAGTCGCTAAATCAGCACCGCTGTGTTCCACAACCTGCCACCTCTCATGTCAGCRAGCAGCGTGTCAGGTCAATTACGTCACACATTGGAGCGGTCAAATTATCGTACATTATGGGATTTTGGGGATTATTGATCGTACATCGTACAGAGGGCAAAATCATCATA